TCATTTTCATTTTTAAGCAGCCTTATCACTGTTGGCCAGGTGGTTTATAACTATCACATTGTGGCAGCTAGAGGGCATAATGGATAGAGTGCTGGACTTGGAGTTATGTAGGTCTGAGTTGACATTTGGCCTCTGATACTTCCCAGCTGTGTGACTTTGGGCAAGTCACTACCTGTCTCAGTTTCTTCATCTGTAAAATGGGGATAATAATAGCACCTATCCCCCAGGATTGTTGTGAGGATAAAATAAGATATTTGTAAAGCACTTTGCAGAACTTAAAGTGCTATATAAAAGCTAGAATATATACATATGTATGTATTTATATATAAAATTATTAAGTAGTTTATTAGGCAGGCATAGGAAAATCATTAGTGCAATAAATCTCTCTCCCCATCCCCACTTTCATCTCAAAGGTCTCTGTGGCATGATGGAAGACCCCAGAATAAAGAGATGGAGGTTAAAAAAAAACTGTACATACACATAAACTTTAAAGAATGTTAATTCTGTGAGAACATTGCCAGGGATACTAGGGCAGGAGGAGAGTATGAATTTCTTCAGCAAGTTAATGTATCTCTGATAGACAAAGCTCAATAAGGCTGGGGAGGAAGTTGGGATAGAAGAAAGGACCTGGGACAAATGCAATTGTAAAGGAATTTAGGGCTTTTTATTAAAGGACCGGGTGAAAAGTTAGAAAGAACAGAGCATGAACTGATCAAAGAACTCAGCTCAGGGGAGGCAGTCTAGTAGGTCAAACAGAACATTGGATTTGGATTCAGAGGACCTTGATCTGCTACTTACTCCCATATAAATTTTCCTCTCTATGAGCCTCAGTTTCCCCTTCTGTAAAATGAGGATATTAGACTAAATTATTTCTAAAGTCCTTTCCTGCTCTAAATTCTATGAATTCTAAAGAAAGCAGAGGAAAGTTTTGTTTGTCCTGATCAGAGAAATCCCTCATTTCAGGAAAACATTAAAAACTCATGAGAACTCACAAGTTTTAACAACAACAATAAAAATATATTGGGGGCAGTGATTTAGGTATAGCTGAAAGAACACAGAACTACTTCTGCTCCTCTATTTTATTCCCTCTAGTGTGGATGAGTGAAGCCTCAGGACAATCCGGCTGGCCCAGGTACAATTGGCCAAGTGCATGATGGGATTTGAAAAGAATCTCTGTCTGGACCCAAAGTTCAAAGAGGTCTGGGAGAGGTCCCATTGAGGGGTAGCAGAAGTTGTCAAAGAAATAGATGTGACTTGGGGAGCCTTTTGCTGTACCTTCTGTGTGGAGCTGTAGGTCCTGCTCCCCAAAAGAGCTGGAATAGCCCTGAGGCTGTGGGCTGACTCACAAAAGAGCAGTAACATTCTCTCTCAGGAAGAAGGTGCCTAGAGGTTGCAATTCAGTGGAGAAGCATAAGATGTCAACAGCATCTCAACAATTCATCAGGGAAGCAGTAGGTAGCAGTATCAATTCAGTGGGATGATAAACCAGCAGAGAAAGCAACCCAGCAAATGACATTAGTGATTGTGGGGGGAAACAGCAGCTTTCGTGACCAAGAGGTACTCTATCTTTAGAATCATGACTTGTTTAGATTACAAGCACGTCTCCTGTTGTTTGCATGGGAACCTGTGGGAGAGTGTGTCTCTGTAGGTATGAAGATATAGTTCTTCCTAGTTATTTACTTACTAGACTGTATAATTCAATACCCTTCTTTTGAATTAATGTATCTTCAGGTTTGGTCTAGTAGGAAACTAATGCATGGGGGCTCCTGAACTGTGGTTTTGAATAGATGCTGACAAAGAGAGTGCCTTGAATCTGTATGTATGTCTCAGGGGGGCATATTAATAGGTCACCTTGGTCTAAAGCAATAGAGTTTAAAAACAGGATCTTAGAGATCATCTAATCTAGGAGTTCTTAACCTAAGGATGATGGATAGGGTATTGAGGTGAATGCCAGGGTCAAGAGTTTAAACTTTCCTTGAGGAGGGCCAAACTTCAGTAAGACTGTGTGTGTGGGGGGGGTCTTCTTCTGGTTGGTCTGCATCCTCTATCACTGTTGTGCTTCTCCCCCTCCTCCCTCTCCATGACCCCGGCTCTCATGCTGTTGCCCTTCCTCCAGTCCCACAGGATCAATTTCTCATCAGGGACTTTCAAGAGTTCCCCTTCATGATGATGAGTATTTCAAAAGAGGAGCCTAGAGAGGGAAATGCTTAACCCAAAGAAATGAATCTTTATGGGAGAATCCCAGACACTGTTTCCAGCTTCGAAGGTGGTATTTTTGCACTTAGATGGTTCTTTCTCTTTCCTTAAATCATGCCACCTAAATAGCCACTTTCTCTTTCTTAGTTTCTCCCAGTTTCTGCTCTGGAACATGGCAAAAAGATCAAAGGATCAGAGATTCAGAGCTAGGAGGGACCTTAGAAGTCACATAATCCAACTCCCTCATTTTACAGATGAGGAAGGAAAATGAGACCCAGAGAGATGAAGGTGTGCTAGAGACTTGCCTAGGGTCACACCGCCAGCAAGGGTCTGAGGTGGATCATGAACCTTTGCTGTGCCACCCGGATTCTGCTTTTAACTCATTATATCACCGAGGGCAAGTCACTGGCCTGGATTTCATTTTCTTCTTCTGTAAAATGGGTTAATACTTCCCTCTCTGCCAACCTCACAAGGCTCTGTGCTACTTCCTCCATGAGTCTTCTCCTACATCCCCAGTGGTTAGTGATATTTCCTTCCTCAAATTACCCTATACTTACTTATTTGCTAACATGTGGTATTGCTGAAGAGTAAATTCCTCAAAGGCAAGGACTGTTCCATTTTCAACTTTGTATCTCTTTGTTGCTGAATAAATGTTTACTGAATTGAACTGATTAAATGAATTCCTCTATGTGGAAGAACTTTGAAAACACAGAGTCCTTTGTGCACCTAAGGGCTCTGGGAACAAGTCCACACCTGGATTATTGTCAGTACCCAGAGATAAGTAAGTCAGAATTCTGCACACACATGTTGATGTCTATCTTCCCATTGTTTCAAGATCTCACTCCTGGTTTGGGGAATGTCTGCATTAAAATCAGTTGTTTCCTTTTGCCTATTTTCCTTCCTTACAATTCCAGGTCTCTGAACCCTCTTCCTGTCTTTGTTCCAATAAGGCCTTATTTCTAACCAAGATGTTTCCTGGGGTTGTGACATCATCGACTCTTGTGTTAGCCAGGTTCAGCATTGCCCATAGCCAGAGCTTCTCTGTCTGGCACAGTTCATTTCCAGTGAAGGTTCTGTTTCCTGACCACCCCAACCTCTAAAAACTCACCCCTACCTCCTAACATACATGAAGTGTCCTTTTTGTCTGACCCTGCTGGCTTCTCACCGGCATGCCAGTTTCACATCTTCTTGGTATTTCCAATCCAATTTAGTAAGCATTTATTAAGCACCTACTATTTACAAGGCAACAGGTAGTGTGGTACAATGGATGGAGAGCTGACCTGGAAACCAAGTAGTGGGATCAAGTCCTGCCTCAAACATATTTCGGCAGTGAAGGTGGTTTGAAAACAAGAGATTTTCATTTTCTCTCTCCGTGTCTCTTGTCTCTGTCCCTCTCTGTCTCTGTCTATCTCTGTGTGTATCTGTCTCTCTGTTTCTCTCTTTCTTTTAGTCTCTCTGTCTGTCTCATTTAAGTGAAAGGCCTGGACTAGATGCAGAGGGTCTTTCTACCTCTAAATTCTAATTGAGGAAGAGTTGGGGGGGCAGGGTAGGGGGGAAAGATAGAAATTTCAGAATCTCTCTCATTCACCCACCAGTCTAACATCTGCGTCTTTTACTCACCATTGGGTCAAATCTCAGTTATCCTGATCTCATCTTCCCACTTCTCACCTTGTATACTACAGGAGAGAAAACTTAACAGCCTCTTTTGCACCAGTGAGCCTTGTTCCACACTCTGAGCTTTGTTTATCATCTAGTCGGAGCCCCCATTATGTTCTCACTGCATTCTGTCTTGTTCTCTGTCAATGAATCAGGCTAATTAAGAGGCCTGGAGAGGCAGAGTGGTTAGTGCTTGGGTCTGAATGGTAAAAGGCTTTGGCACTGTCTGGCTGCCTGGGGCACTGTGCCTTCCATCCCTCCTCTGGAGGGAGTGTGAGAATGACATCGTGGAGGATTGCCAAAAAAGCTTCTGGCTGAATACAGCTGACTGAATACAAGCAGCCTCACCTGCTCCAAAGCAGACCTGGTGAGAAGATAGGGGCTGGGCAAGCCTGGGACAGAGATGACCTGTGGTTTTTTTTTTGGGGGGGTGGGGTGGTGGTGGAGAGGAAAGGATTCTTGTGTGATCTGATGGCACCACCTGGTGGCAGATTTAACAAACAGTCCCCAAAGTTCTCTCCATCTTGGCATCACACCTCTCATTTTCCGCAGGAGGACACTTGAGGCCTAGAGAGAAGTGACTTGTTTAGGGCTACATAGCAAGGTAGTGAGCAGTAGAGACTGGTCTAGTCCTCAGGGCTCCTAATTTTCTCAGTCCAGTGTCCTTTCCATGGTATTAGGAATGGGGGGTAGGGAAAGCAGGAGTTAAACTATCAATAAGAGAGATCACAGAAATTTCTCCTTTATATTTCCACTGCTTTTTCCTTTTCCTTTAACCCAGGAGCTCTTACCCTTGGGGGTTAGTAACTTAACCTCTCCGTATCCCTGGCAACTCTCTAAGATTATATTAAGGAAGGGTTGCTGATTGACCTTGGGGAGAACTTCCACTCTGGGAGTTCCCCATACCAAAGTAACTGGGGGTGGGGTGGGGAACAACAAGAAACAAAAAGGGAAAGTTACTAAATTAATCCATTAGATTATAAACTCCTTGAGGGCAAGGGCTGTCTCTTGCCTCTTTTTGTATCTCCATCACTCAGCACAGTGACTAGGATTTAGTAGGTGCTTAATCAACGCTCATTGATTGATTGAAGTTACACCTTCAGAGTTAACCTTGATCTTCCATGAAACATAAACAGAGCTGGATCTGGTCATTCTAAGCTCCCCTTTATTCACTTTGTTCTTTGCCCCCATCTGGGTTGCACACTAGGCCCAGGTTTCAGGCTCCTAAGTCAAGATACATTTAGGTCAAAAGAATCTTAGGACTCCCTGTCCCTTCTAGAACCTGCTTCCTCCCTTTGTCTCTGGATAAGGGCCTCCTGATTGAACCTCAGCGGTAATCCAGTCCAACTGCCTCCCCTGCTCTTACTACTGCCATTTTGTAGGCGATAAAGATGAGACCTAGAGGGTAATGACTTCCAGTGCAGTCACTGCCTCCTTGTTAAGCCTCCTCCATTCCTCATACCAATTTCTATGCCTTTTGCTTTGAAAAGTATTATCCTTGTTCAGGCTCCATGCACATGAAAAGTCCTCTTTCTGCTCCACCAGATTTCTTCACTGGGCTTCAAGGCAATTAGCACTTGTCTCTCCTCGGAGGATTCCATGGCATTAGCCCCAGGATGTCCTATCCTACCCAGGTGAGTTGTTAAGACTATATTATGAAGCTTGTCCATTCACCTTTTGTTTTCAGCTAGCATTTGGTCTTATTTGCCTTAGAGGTCATGTAGCTTTTATGGCTTTCGCCATCAAATGTAGGACCTTGGGTTAGTCACTTCCTCCATGGGCCTCGGTTTCTTCATCTATAAAAAGAGAAAGCTGAATTAAATTATCTCTAAGGTCTTTTCCATGTCTAAATCAAATCCTATGGTTCTACATTCACATGCTTGAGTCTCCTGCATTAGAATAGCTTTCTGTCTCCACAATCCAGAACACACTGCCTCGTCTTCTTGTGTCAAAGCTCTCATTCATAGACTCCTCTAGCAATCAGCTCATTCAGAGTGCAGGGATGATTGAATTGTTCTGAGCCTAATGAGTGATGACATCTTACCTAAGTCAGTATTTGAATTCTGCCTACTTCTCCAGGTTGTTCCAATGACTCACCCTTTAGACATGTCTTGCCCCACTCCTTAAGGGTGAGGTCTCTTCAAATTCTTTCTGCATGTAGTAAGAACCCAATCACTTCCAAGAGTCAGGGCTGGGTTACTCTGACACAGGAGTATCCCCTGAGAATGGCTCAAATGCATTTCCCTAGTAGAGGTCCTACCAAGAGAAAAGAGTGGCTAGGTTTATTATTGAGAAATATTGCAGTAGCAATAAGGTCAAGAACCTGGTGCTGGGATTTGGAGTCACTGGACTTGAGTCTGAATTATAGGTCTGCCACTTATTATCTATGTTAATTTGGACAGATCACTTATTCTCTCTGGGTCTAGGGGCTATGACACAGATGATGATCTATTAAAGAAGGCTTAGAAAAAGCAGTCAGAATGGTAAGAAAAGAACAAAAAATGAGTAATGTCATGCAAACTAAGAGAGGACAGCCTACCCAGGACTATAGGATGGTCAACAGAGATGAACACAGCAGAGAAGTCAAGAAGGGGGAGGACTGAGGAAAGACTATTCATCAGAGTTGATGCCTGGGAGCTCAGTGGTAGTTCTAGAGGGAGAACTTTCAGAGTGATGAGGTTAGAAGCCAGACTGAAGTGAATGAGAGAATAGGAAGTGGATGAAGAGTGATCAGACAGCTTTTTCTGAGAGTTTGGCCTTGAAAGAGTAGAAAAGCTTGAGGGGATGTTAGCATCAAGTGAGGGTTTTTTTTTTAAAGGATGGTAGAGACTGGGACATGTTTATAGTCAGCAGGGGAAGAATCCAAAGATAAGGAGACGTTGAAAATCAAAAGAGGACGTGATTATAGGGGCAACACGCCTAAGAAGACAGAAGGGCATATGGTCAAGGATACATGTAGAAGGGTTGATCTTGGTGAGCTGAAAGACCAACTCTTAAGAGAATAGAGTAAACGAGTAGAAAATGAGGGATGATATTATGAGATGATGAAGAGAAGAGAATGGTTAAGAGGAATATGACCTCTATCTTCCTCAGTGAAATAAAAGTCAGGGTCCTCAGCTGCGAGGGTGTGAGAAGAGAAAAGGTTTGGAACATTAACATTGGGGAGTTTGATGAAGAATAACATAGAAGTAAAAGGATTGAATTTGTACATCAAGAACCCTATTAAAATTAAAGTTTAAAAATTTATATGGACCTAGTCATTGTAATTTTTGTGATTTTTCTCTAGCTCCAATCAGAAGCACGAGTAAGCCAGAAGGAGGCAGATGGTGGACGTAATCCAGAGTTGGGTATATATAATTGGCAAGGCATAAATAATTCTGAGTCTCTCACCTCTCTATTGGGGCAGAGGTAGCATGTTTCATTATTAGTCCTTTGGAATCATGATTGGTTATTACGATGATCAGAGTTCCTAAGTCTTTCAAAGTTATTTTTTTACTGTATAAATGGTTCTCCTGGTTCTGTTCAATTCTCTCTGCATCATTCATACACATCAGGCCAGGTTTCTTTGAAACTATCCCCTTCATCTTATAGCACAAAAGTACTTCATCACATTTATGTACTATAACTTGTCCAGTCATTCCCCAATGGTATTCCTTCAGAATCCAATTCTTTGTCACCTCAAACAGAGTTATAAATTTTTTGTATATCCTAAGTTAAAGTTTGTTTTGCTTAGGACTAATCTCACACTTCCTCTTATATTCTCTTCTTTCTCCTCTTTCCTTTTTATTTCCCTGTCGAATGAAATGTTGTCTTTACCCAACTGTGTGTGTGTGTGTGTGTATATATATATATACACATATATATATGCATTCTTCCCTCCTTCCTAAGAGAGTGAAGTTAATGCATCAGTGGTTCCTGCCACCTTTCTCCTTGTTTGTATAGACTTCTCCTTTGTTTGGCTTTCCTCATAAGGTGAGATAATTTTCTCTAACTTTCCTTTTCCTTCTCCCTCAAGGTCTACATATTCATTTCCTCCTCCCTTTCTATTCTTTTAAGATCATCAAGGCTTAACAGAACCACTGCCAGGTCTTCTGTCTCTAGTATTAGAGGGAGTATTAGACTCCCTCTGTTACCCCCAATGATGCTAAGGTTCAGAGGGGACACATGTATCATCTCTCTGTTAGAATGTAGACAGTTTATCCTCTTTTTGTCTATCATTGTTTGTTCATGTTCACGTTCCTTTTAACTCCTGTATTTGAACTTCAAAGTTTCTATACAGCTCTGGTCTTTTCATCAGTAATGCTTGGAAATCCTCTATTTCATTAAAGCTCCATTTCTCCCAGTAAGATTATGCTCAGTTTTGCTGCATAAGTTATTCTTGGCTTCAAGTCTTTCCTTTCTGCGATATCATTGCAGAATATCATTGTTTCCTTAGAACAGTGGCTGCTAAATTGTATGTGATTCTGACTGTGGCTCCTCAGTTCTTGAATTCTTTCTTTCCAACTGCTTGTCACTCAGATTCTGAACACTGGCATCATCCAACCAGTTGCAAGTCTTGTCAATTCTATCCCCACAATACTCTTGCATCCATCTCCTTCTGTCTGCTCACATGGCCACCACTCTAGGCCAGCCCTTCATCACCTCTCACTTAGACTATTGCAATAGCTTCCTAATTAGCCTTCCTTAAGTTTTTTTCATTTTTCTTTTAAATTTATTTTTAGTTTCCAACATTCACTTCCACAAGATTTTGAGCTCCAAATTTTCTCCCCATCTCTCCCCTCCCCTCACCCCATGATGGCGTGCATTCTGATTACCCCTTCCCCCAATCTGCCCTGCCTTCTATCACCCTGACCACTTCTCTTATCCCCTTCCCCTTTTATTTTCCTGTAGGGCAAGATAAATTTCTATACCCCATTGCTTGTGCGTGTTATTTCCCAGTTGCATGTGAAAACAATTTTAACATTCATTTTTAAAACTTTGAGTTCCAAATTCTCACCCTTCCTCCCTCCCCACTTACCCTCATTGAGAAGGCAAGCAATTCGATATAGGTTATACACGTACAGTCATGCAAAACACTTCCATAATAGTCATGTTGTGAAAGACTAACTATAGTTCCCTCCATCCTATCCCCCCATTTATTCTATTCTTTCCTTTGACCCTGTCTCTCCCTGTTTGCTTCTGATTACCCCCTCCCCCAATCCGCCCTCCCTTCTCAAGTTTTTATTCTCTCCAATCTATGCTCCATACAACTGCTGAAGTGATTACCGTCTAAAGTACAAGCTATGTCACTTCCCTACTCAATAAACTCCAGTGCCTTCCCATTATTTCTAGAATCAAATACCAAAACCTCTATTCGACATTTAAAACCCTTTACAACTTGGTTCCAACCTACATTTCCAGCTTTATTCTGTTTCTCCTCTCTATAGTCTCTGTGTAAATTAACCTTCTTAATAGCTCTCACACACGACACTCCATCCTTCTTTCTCGGTGTTTTTGCACCGACTAGACTTCATGCCAAGAATGCATTTCCTCCTGACTTTTGCCTCCAAGAATTCCTATTTTCCTTGAGTTCCACATTCTCTACGAGACCTTTTTGCTTCCCTTTTTTGCTTGTTCTTTCCCCTCAAAAATACCCGATATTTATCTCGGACACACTTATACACATGCATGTTATGTCCTCTAATAGAAAGTGAGTTTCTTGAAGGCAGAGATGCTTGTTTTTGTCTTTGCATCTTCACTGCCTAGTACACAGCAGATGGAGAATCGATGCTTCTTCATGGACGGTTTCATTTATAATCTATAATCCCAACAGGAATTGAACTAGATTACCCTAAGGTCCTTGCCAGCTCTAAATCCATGATTTTATGTTATTGTCCTTTGGCCCCAGGTCTTTCTCTAGTCTGCACTCACGGGAAGAAACAGAGATACCATTAATAATAGAAGAAATAACAAAGCGATTACCTGTGTTCATGAAAATCCTATCCTACTTTCATAGCATGATTTTATTTTTCAAAAATCTTTTTATGTCATTATCTCATTTAGTCTTTTCAATGCTTCCATGAGAAAGGCAATTATTCTTCCCATTTTATAGATAAGGGAACTGAGACTTGGAGAGATTCAGTGACTTTCCCAAAGCAGATTTAAAGGCAGAAGATCATAATACATTCTTAAGGTGATGCCCTATGGCTGCATCATGGAATACCTTAGTTTCCGAAGAATTAAGGTTAGAGGTCATCCCCTATGTTCAATGGAAAGGAATGATGGGGATAAGTAAGCTGCAGCACATTACCAATAAATAATTGTTCAGGAGAGGTGGAGTAAAGGATATGATCAAAGAGATATATGACTGGAAAAGTCAGTTGGCTAAGTGATAACTGATAGCCAATTTTGATGCCCTTTTAGTACCTACAAAACCAGTCAATCAATCAACAAGTATTTATTATCTACAAACCTTTTAGAAAAGAGTTCCCAGCAGGTTGAGTAGAGTCCCCTGCAAAAGATTTGTGGGAGGATGTGTTGAATAGGATGAGAAGGCATGGATGGGTTGTGTGATCTTCACCACTGGAGGGATTACCTACATGATGAGAATTATGGGAACAAGACACAAGCCAGTGAAAACCACAAAATAAAGTCCATTTTATCTTCAAAACAACTATCTATGTGTGAAATACATACTATGAGTTGCTAATGAGAAAATAAGAAATCCAATCCAACAAGCATTTATTGTGTTCTCTATATGCAAGACAGTGTCCTGCGCCTTGGAGATAGAACAATAGAAGAAAAACAATCCCAACATATAAATACATGTGCATGCATTTGGTCATTTGATGGGGAGAGCGCCCTACAAACTAGGGCAACTGGGGAAGGCTTTAGGCAAGAGGTGGTTGTATTTTGCAAACTCTGAAATGCTCTGTAAATTTCAGTTATCATTATCATTACCATGTAGACCAGCAGCATTGACCTCCCTCCACATTCTCATCACATTCTGAATTATTCTTTCATTTCATTTCATTATTTGTTTCATTATTCTTTCATTTCAATTTCAGCAAACATTTACTGAGTAACTATTCTGTGTAAGTCCGGGGTTCCTCTATTAGGGTTGGGATGAAGAAGCAAGAAGAGTACCTTCCCTCTGAAATTACCTCCCATTTATACTGTATATATAGATACACACAGACACACACATTTACACAGACAGTTGTTTGCATGTTTCCTTCTCCATTAGAATATGAGCTCCTTGTGGACAGGGACTGTGTTTTTGCTTTTCCTTGTATCCTCTTTTATCCCCGAGTGCCTAGTACATAGTAGGTGCTTAATAAATGATGGTTGTTATTGTTGATGATAATGTTGATGATGAGGAGGAGTAAGACACATATATCCCTGCTCTTGAGGAGCTTAGAATATGAAATGCAGGGCGAAATTTGCATCCAGATAATAATTAGTATTTATGCAGCTATAATGTTTGCAAAAACACTTTACATAGACCATCTCATACTATAAGAGAGAATGTGATATGTGTATTAGAGAGGTTCAAAGGAAATTCTGCATAGGACTAGAGGAGGGAGAGCCACATTTGGGCACAGGACAATCATGGAAGCCATGGAGGAGGTGTCATGAAGGACAAGAGGATCTTCACCAGGTAGACAAGGAGAGGAAAGCATCCCCAGAGTGCAGACCACCAGGCAGACTTTCTGCAGAAGGGAAAGATTCCTCTTCTTCCTTGGAAGAATTTTGTTTTGTTTTGTTTTTGTTTTTGTTTTAAAGTCTTTTTTTGATGCCTCGTTGCTCTCCAAGATTGCCTTTTTGACAATTTTTGGTGATTGTTTCAGAGGTTTTGCCAAAGTTCCAATATCCCCTCCCATCTTTGTATGTGTAAAAACTTCAAGTGGTTCTCCCCCTTTAGCTGCCCCAAGACATTATTTCCCCTCATGTTCTCTTGTACATTTCCTTAACAGCCAGTGGGTAGTTTCATCAACTTTAGCACCTTGAACATTTATCATTCATCAGGCATCAATGTAGCCCAATCCTGGTGGAACTAATACAACCTGTACACCAAAAGAGAAGATGGCAGGTGCATCGTGTTTCCTCTCATCAATACTGGAGATGGCAAGATGCCATAAGGATGAACATAATGTGCTTGTAAGCCTTCCAGTTGAATTTACATAGAACATTGTTTCTCCCACTTAGTAATTCTCACCCCGTGCCAAAAGGCTTTATGCTGCTTGTGACAGACTTGGATAATAATGCACACCCTTTAAGACAGTGACAACCAGGGCTTCTTCATTTGGCCTGCTGTTATTTATTTGTTTTAAAATTCTTCTATTTACATTTTGGAGGATGCGGTGGATGAGGCAGACAGGCTTTCCAGAAGTCCTGATTCCAAAGATCACAGAGGTGAGAGACAGAAGGGACCTTTAAACATTACAGGATGACCATAGAAACCATAGATTGCACTTTAGAGCTACAAGGGACCTTAGAGGCAATCAAGTTCAACCCCTTCATTTTACAGATGAGGAAACTGAGGCATAGAGAGATTAAACCCCGGATCATAGAGTTAGTGTTTAAGACAGGAGCTGAGCCCGGGTCTTCCTGACTCCAAGTCCAGTGCCTTATCCATTCTATCACACTTCTTTCCAACTGGTCCAGCCTCCACATTTTAAAGAGAAGGAACCTGAAGTTTAGCAAAAGGATGAGGCTTTGTTCAAGATCACACAGGGGGAGTTCTGCTACTGGAAGCCAAGATGGCGGAGTAAAAAGGTAGTCTCTCTCACCCTCCCCTATCAACCTCTGAAAACTCAGAAAATATCACCCCAGAAAAAAACCCTGGAACAGCTGAACCAGAAGAAACACGGGGTGCAGCAGCCCAGGTAGCTAGAGGGATTAACGGGAAAGGCCCCTCTTACCCTGGGGGAAGGGGAGCAGTACGGAACTGGGAGTCGCCCAGCCAGCTAGTGGAAAGACCCACTTTAGCACACCAGGAGGAGATTCTGGTGCCTTGGCATTCTACAGCAAACGGGTCTCCCAGTGCTTCAGCAAAAATAAGGGAAGCAGCACTACAAAGGGCCCCAGGTGGATAAGCACCCTGCAGCATTTGTCTGTAAGGAGCTGAAGAAAGCAACCTAGAGTTGCCCCAAAGTTCCAGCCTTGTTGATTCCAGCCCAACACCAGATAAGCTGTCAGAACCCTACAGCCTCCAACTGCCAACCAGGAGGAGATCCTGAAGCCCAGGTGGTCGAGCAGGCAAACACCAACAGCTGGACCTCCTAGTGCCTCAGTTAGGGCACGGGAACTGGTGGAAACCAGCTCAGAAAACCACCAGGTGCCTCGGCATTCTACAGCAAAGAAGTCTCCCAGTGCCTCAACAGAAATAAGGGAGGCAGCACTGCAAGGGGCCCCAGGCAGATAAACACCCAGTAGCACCCATCTAAAAGGAGCTGAACAAAGCTAAAGAAAAGGAAAAGCAGGCAACCTAGATTTGCCTGAAAGTCTCAGCCTTGCTGATTCCAGCCCAACACCAGCTAAGCTGCCAGAACCCTACAACCTCCAATTGCCAACATAAGAGGACCCAGCACACAAAGCCAGTGACCAAGACCTAGGCTCCTAATGCAAGAAACTTGGGTCAGTGCCCTCTGCTCCCCAGCAGGAGAGCATAATCCCTTTAAAAGCCGGGAATAAAGAAGCACCATGAGTAAAAAGAAACGTACGATAGATTCATATTATGAGAAGAGTGAAGAACAAGACAGAAGTTTTGAAGAGGACAACACTGTCATCAAACCCACATCTGCAACATCAAAAGGGAATATGAACTGGTCTGAAGCCCAAAAAGCCTTCTTAGAAGAACTCAAGAAGGATTTTAAAAGTCAAATGAGAGAGGTAGAGGAGTCCTTAAAAAGTACAATTGGCCAATTGGATAAAAAGTACATTGAAGAAAACAAATCCCTAAAAAACACAATTGGCCAACTGGAAAAAAGTACACTGAAGAAAATAAATCCCTTAAAAATACAATTGGCCAACTGGAAAAAAGTGCACTGAAGAAAACAAATCCCTTAGAAATACAATTGACCAATTGGAGAAGAAAGTACAACATCTAACAGAAGAAAACAATATGTTAAAAATTAGAATTGAACAAATGGAAACTAATGATTCTATGAGAGAACAAGAATCAATCAAACAGAAACAAAAAAATGAAAAAATAGATGAAAACGTAAAATACCTCATGGGTAAAACAACTGACCTGGAAAATCGATCCAGGAGAGGCAATTTAAAAATATAGGCCTACCTGAAAATCATGATGAAAAAAAGAGGCTGGACAATATCCTTCAGGAAATCATAAAGGAAAACTGCCCTGAACTCCTAGAATCAGAAGGTAAAATAACTATAGAAAGAATCCACCGTTCCCCACCTGAAACATCCCAAATTGAAAACACCAAGGAATATAATAGCTAAATTCCAAAATTACCAGATTAAAGAGAAATTACTGCAAGCAGCCAGAAAGAAACAATTTAAATATCATGGAACCACAGTCAGGATTACACAGGACCTTTCAGCCTCTACATTAAAAGACCGTAGGGCATGGAACATGATATTCCGTAAGGCAAAGGAGCTTGGAATGCAGCCAAGGATTAACTACCCAGCCAAAATAAGCATGATTTTTCAGGGAAGGAGATGGATATTCAACGAAATAGGGGACTTCCAAACATTCCTGATAAAAAGACCAGAGCTCAACAAAAAATTTGATCTTCAAGTACAAGATTCAAGAGAGACATAAAAAGGTAAATGGGACAGAAAGATACAATATGTTGTTAATAAGGGCAAAATGTTTACATCCCTACAAGGGAAGATGACACTTGCAACTCTTGAGAACTGTATTGTTATTACACCATGTTAAAGGAGTATACATAAAGGGGGTGGATATAAATTGACTTTGATGTAATGATAAAAAAAAATTTAATCAAGTGGGTTAAATGTATCCAAGTAAGTAGATTAGTATGAGCTAAGAAAATGTACTGAGAAAGGAGGAGGCAAACAGAGGGTAAATTACATTACAGGAAAAGACACAAAAACCTATCAGAGCCAAGGTAAAGAAGAGAGGGGGATGAGCATTGTTTGAACCTTACTCTCATCAGATTTGGCTCAAGAAGGGAATAACATAATCAGTTAGGTATAGAGATCGAACTTGCACTATAGGCAGTAGGAGGGAAAAGGGGAAAGAAAAGGGAGGGGGAATTGAAGGGAGGGAAGAAGTAGCAAGGGTAAAGGAGAAGAAAAGTGAAAGGGATAATAGAAGGGAGGTGGGATTGAAGGAGGCGGTGATCAAAAGCAAAACACTAGTTGGGGGGGAAGAAGAAAGGAGAAAGAAAAGCATAAACGGGAGAAAAAAGGATGGAGAAAAAGACACAGATAGTAATCATAACTGTATATGTGAATGGGATGGACTCTCCAACAAAACAGAAGCAGATAGAAGAATGGATTAAAAACCATAATCCTACAATATGTTGTTTACAGGAAACACATTTGAAAAAGAGTGACACACACAGGGTAAAGGTAAAAGGCTGGAGCAGAATATATTATGCT